CAAAGGCCATTTTGACACGAATGTATGGGCCGAAGGCCGTTTTGACAAAGAATATATTGGTAATTTGCTAAAAATTTAATGAGTAATTTACTGATAATTTATTAAGTATTTTCTTAGTAATTTACTAAAAATTTAATGGGAATTTTTAGCGAATTTACTGAGAATTAACTAAGTAATGAACTGAGAATTTACGTAGTAATTTATTGAGAATTTAATGGGAATTTACTGAGTAATTTACGGTTAATTGATTGAGAAATTACTGAGTAATTTACTGAGTAATTTACTCAGTAATTTACTGAGTAATTTACTCAGTATTCTTATCAGTAATTTACTGGGAATTTATAGGTAATTTACTCTGTAATTTGCTGAAAATTTTCTAAGTAATTTACTAAGAATTTAATGAGTATTTTCTAAGTAATTTACTAAGAATTTACTAGGATTTTACTCAGAATTTATTGTGAATTCACAAAGAATATATTGGTAATTTGCTAAAAATTTAATGAGTAATTTACTGAGAATTTACAAAGTATTTTCTTAGTAATTTACTAAGAATTTTCTGGGAATTTTTTGAGAATTCACTGAATAATTTACTGAGAATTTACGGGGTAATTTTATGTGAATTTACACTGAATTTACAAAATAATTTGCATGGAATTTACTGTTAGTTTATTGAGAAACTATTAGCAATTCATTGAGTAATTTTCTGAGCATTTATTGAGAATTTATTAGGAATTCACTGAGTAATTTACAAGGAATTTACTGAGAATTTTTGTAGAATTTCCTCAGCATTTGACTGCGAATTTACTTAGTAATTTACCGAAAATTTACTGAGAATTTGCAGAGTAATTTATTGAGGATTTTATTGTGTAATTTAATGAGAATTTAATGAGTAATTTACTATGGAATTTCTTGAATAATTTACTAAGAATTTAATGACTAATTTTTTAAGAATTTGATGAGTAATGTACTGAGAATTTTCTGGGAATTCACCAAGTAATTTACGGAGAAATGACTGAGTAATTTGTTGAGAATTTACTGAGTAATTGACTGGAAATTTTCTGCGAAATTCACTTAATATTTATTGAGAATTTACTGAGAGTTTACTTGAAA